GATTTTTTCTAGTTCTTTTTCTTCAATTCTGGCATCTCCAGGAACAGCGATATCAATAAACTGTACACTTTGGCCCTCTACAATTGTAATATCTGGCGTGTTGTGCTCCAAATGATGATCCATTTGTATTTGAAAGTCCCACAAGATCTTCACCTTCTCATTTTCGATAACTTTTTCCACTTTATGTTCCCATGACTTTCTGGATACAGGTAAATCATATTTTTTACATAATGGCCAGTGGATTAATTTAGCACCTCGATCATGTCTTGCTTTGTAATCAGTTTGTGTGATTTTTCTGCATTCACATATTAAATGTGAAACAGTTTCGACTTTGTTGGATTTTTGTATCTTTGCTTTCATGGCATTAGTTTGTAGTGCTTGTTCTTGAGCAGCTAGTGTTAAACCTTCCATTTCTTTCTTGAAAGTTCCCATCTTAAGCCATGTCCATGTCAAGTTAAATTTTATCCTTGTTCTCTTTTTACAGTAGTGTTTTCTGCCTTTTCAGTCTTTACTTCATTCTCTTAAATCGTTATGCTACCCTAATTCAAAAGTGATCTGAAAACAGTTGGTGGATAGTGGGAAGATTCAGAATAATCAGAAAAACCTCTAATATTTTATGCTTATGTCAACTTTACTAAATGTTTATTATGTTTGGTAACATTTTTTTCTGCAGTTGATTTATCACAATTGTTTAATTTTAGATATTCAACAAAGCAGGCAGAGATTAAAGAAGAGATTAAAAGAACAGCGTAGCCAATAACCGAAAAATGTAATGTGGCACTTTTTTTAGTTATTTCCACTGAAACCTAAGTTTGTTTAAACAGAAATTTGGAACTCTACTTCCAATGTTAGCAGTTATGTAGGTTGTAACCTACATGTAACTTATGTAAGTTGTGGAAATTCCCAGTGTTTGATCAGCTAGCCTAGCACAAAATGTGCACCAAGCAGTTACTACATATCAGTGAAGTGCAGGCAGTTGGCCAACAGAGTAAACAAGGAGCCAAAATCCTTGTTCCTGATTGCGTTACTGAAGGACACAACTGGTTTTGAATTATCCAGTCTTTACATTCAGACATTTTTGGAAAACTGTCCATACGTCTCCATATGATACCTCTACAAAAACATCAATTTTCTAATATCTTTGTCAATTACTAAGCCTAGTAATTATAGGCCTATTAGCCTGATTGACATTGCAGCAAAAAAATATGCTAGGTCCCTTTTGAATAGAATTGAAATATGAGTAGAGGAAAACAATATCCTCACAGAAGAACAAGCAGGTTTTAGACAAAGCAGATCCACTATTGACAACTACTTTGTCTTGAACAATCTAATTGCCAAATATGCCTATATGCGGAGACCCCTGTTGGCTGCTTTTATAGATCTTACAGCAGCATTTGCTATGGTAAATAGAGAAGTCCTATGGACAGCTCTTAAAATAGAACCTAGACTGCTGGCTTTGATTAAAGCCCTTTACACAAGAACCTGTTTGAGGGTGCGGTATGGGGTTAACGGGGCTCTGACTAACAGGATTCACACAAATGAAGGGGTAAGACAAGGGTATATCCTGGCCCCATTATTATTTAATTTATATATCTATCAATATCTTTCTCAATGGGATAAATACCATTTGGCCTAATGAGCAAAGCCACAAAGACAACCAATCTCAATATTGGTTACAAAATAATTTTAACCTGTTTCTTTCACTTAATTTTCACAGATAATAGACAGGTAATAGTGCTAAAGAAGGATAGTTTATTTCTAATGGGAGTAGGATATTTTTCCTCTGATTTTTAAGTGACTATCTTTTCCTGCTGGGGCTTGCTATGCAGCCAGTTTCACAGAAGCTCTGCTGTAAGGCCCAATTCTCTCTATAGGTAATTTCTTATTCAGGAATTGCTTAATCAGCAGATAACTCTCAGATGTGGTTTGAATTCATATATCAGCTGAACTGATATGAATCCACTGATATGAATCCACTTGCTTCCATTAGTAATAACTAACAGTTTATTATATGGAGAAGATGTCTATCTGTAATTATTATAAAATTATACTCAACAATTTAATCAATTGACTCCAAGAGTTTAATGCAGTCAGCTTGGATTTAAACTTTATAAAAGATACTAATCGTTCACTTGCTTTTTTTCTTCTGTGTATATATGTAACCATTTGGAAACATTTCTGAACAGGTCATACCAACTAATGTTAGGTCTGTTGCTTGGGGAAATCGGCTTTCTTCATCCAGTAGAGAAAGTAGCCCCATTGGTTTCTGAAGGAACATATCTAAGAGTGGTCTGTTGTCTTCATAATCAACCAAGACAGCATCAATTCCTTCACTGTGATATTCCATCTAAAGTATTACAAAAGTTAGTAAGTCATAAATATCATTATGGGAATATTCTATATTCAGCAGTCTGGCTTTTCATATTCATCTAGTTGACGGGTGTCAAACTTGCAGCGTCACATTGCTGCCATGTGATCTATTGCGATGTTTTCCCCTTTGCAAAGCTGGGGTGGGCGTGGCCTGCATGTGACTCATCTGGTCCGCGGGCTGCCAGTTTGACACCCCTGATCTAGTTGCAAAGCTGAGAAAAGAATAAGGCAAGCAATTTTCAACACATTGCTGCTCAGTGACCTTTTTAAAAAAATCACTATTTGGGAAATGCTTCTCTTACATTTGTTCCTGGTTTTCACATGACTAAAATTCATATGTTGCTTTCAGTTCTATTGATTTGGGGGGGGGGTCTTTTTTTCTTCAACACAATAGCACACAACTACATACAAAAATAATATATTACAAATTCATTGGTTACTATGATGCCATATTTTCATTTTTATATACAATATTGTGTTCGCATATAGAAGTTGCACGTGCGTCCGATAAATTCATATGGTGAAAGCTTTTTCCCTTTCTGAGAAAACATTTATTTTCACAGAAGACAGATGAAGTCATAAACTTCATACCAAAATCATCTTCTTTGGTTCATTGGTCTTACAAGTTCCAGGCCAAGCCTGCAGAATTTGCTATCAAGTCAATCAAAGCTTACCTGCTCAAGTGCAAATATGTGCTGATTGAAATAAAATTGGATCTGCTCATTTGCAATGTTTATGCACAGCTGTTCAAATGAGTTTCTTGTGAAGTTCTCAAATCCAAAAATATCCAATATCCCAACATTCATTCCACTTTCAGCATTGCTATTTGAAAATGAAAATAATAACAACAACAATAATAATATCATCAAATATAATGCTATAATATATTCCTTAATTTCCAAAAATGCTACTGTATAACCTATTCAGAGTTCAGTTTTTGAACCTATGCTCATTTTTAAATTTTGTTGCTGTTACTGCTGTAAAGCAAGATATTAAACAGAATAAGTTTCAGGGACAAAACTTAACAGTGAAAATATGAGTGCCTTAAAGAAAAAAAGAGTTCATTTCTCCACCAGTGATTTATAGTATCTTCTAGATCAGTGATGGCGAACCTTTTTTCGCTCACGGGTCAAAAGCGGGGGGGAGCGCAGGGGGGTCATGCATGGGTGTGCCACATCCATAATGCTACGTGCATGACCCCAGCATGCATGCGCACACAACCAGCGCTCCCCAAAGTTTTTGCGTGCTTTTTCACCCTCCCCAGGCTCCAGAGGCTTTATGGGGAGGGCCTGGGGAGGGTGAAAACAGCCCCCCCCCCGAAGGCCCTCTGGAGGCTTCAGGAGCTTCCCTGAAGCCTCTGGAGCATGAAAAACCGGCCTTACGAGCAAACCGGAAGTTCGGGAATAGACGTCCAGTTTTCTCATAGTGCCAGTTTTAGCCCTCCAGAGCCTTCAGCAGCCTACAGGAGGCTTCCTTGAATGCTCCAGAGGGCGAAAACTGGCCCTATGAGTACGCTCCTGAACTTCTTGTTTGCCCGTAGGCCATAGGCCGGTTTTTCGCGCTTTGGAAGTTTTTCACGCTTCAGGGGTTTTTCGCTCCAGAGGGTGAAAAATGGCCTCAAAAGAAGGCTGAAGTCAGCTGGCCGGTGCGTGCATGCCCTTGCATGCTCTGACAAATGGCTCTGTGTGCCACCTTTGGCATGCGTGCCATAGGTTCGCCATCATGGTTCTAGATCATTCAACCATCATTGTGCCAAAATAACAGCAATGTGGAAAGGCTATGCTGATACAATAAATCACTAGTGTGGAAATGATCAGATACAAAAATATACACGCTTTAAGTAAATTAGCATTTACCAACATAGGTAAACATTACAGTGAATTTTCCTTACCTAGGAAACTTAATTACGGCATTTCTTATTAGAAATTAGACATCTTTAAACTCAATCTACATCTTTAAATCTAAATCTTCTATAAATCTACAGAACAGCTAATAGACAATAGCAATCTGTGCCCTCTAGATATCGTGGATTACAACTATATTGCTACACTCCAGAATGTCTTACATGTGGTTGCGTTAGTTAGAGCTGATGGGAAGTGAAATTTACAAATCTGGAAGGTTGTTTATCCCATGGAGCAGTTTTTAGCAGTGTAGATCATCTACCATTCTCAAAGACATATTGGTTCATGCCAGCCAAGATGAATTCATCCTTATTAGCTTCCCTTCTGCTGGAATTAATGGGTGGGAAAAATCATTCTGCTGGCATGGAAAAAGAAACCGATCCAGATACTTTTCAAGGAAACTAAAGGGCACCAGATTCAAAAATTGTTTCTGACTTCCCCTTGCAGGATAATTAGAGGACTGATGGGCTAATATACCATACTCAGTCTTCCAGTGGCAAAGCTTCTTTCTCTTAGCTGAGAGGCTTCTCCAAACCAATCGGGGTTTACTTTTGGTCTCAGAATTAGTTAAACTTTTGAGCGAAGGATACACTGGTATTGCTGCATTAGGCATAGTTAAGCACAAAAAGTTAATGATTGGGACTGAATTTAAAGGTTTACTTTATGCTGAAGATAATAAAAAGAAAAAAAAACAGGGAAAGATAAAAGATAATGTAATTAAAGCATCTTCTAATATCTTTCCAGGGAGGGACATGATTTTAACCCAAGTGAATCCCATTTACTACTTAGTTAAATCCCAATCAAGTTTTTGAAAACACTGGAGTTAATGTCCCAGGAACAAAAATGCATGGAAGCCAATTTGAGGCATTATCTAAAACAAACAAGTAAACTCTTGATGTAAAATAAAAAGAGATATGCAGGCATCAACAAATAAATATGCAAGGTATTGATTGATAACTTGCCATATATTTTTATCAGGTTGCAGCAGGGTATTAATCCGATTTACAATCCAACTGAAGAGTCGGCCATAAAGAGCCTTTGACATGGCATCTCGTACATCAGCTGCTTTGTCCACAGTATTTGTTCGGATAATGGTCTCACCTCTTGTGACAACACAATGTGAGGTGAGAGCTTCCTGAAGTTCTTCTGAGCCAATGCTCAGCAGTGCAGCAGCTGAAAGACAAGGATGTTGTAAAAGGGTGGGTGGGGCTACGTGCTAGCCACTGGGTGTGAAACTGGATTTCCTGATCATATTCTGCATTAGGACAATTGAGAAATGTTAGCAAAATATTTACCATTGTCTAAGGCTTCCATATTGGGCACTTCACTTTTATCAGTTTGGTGTTGTGAAGAAATGGAAGCAAATTCGATATTTCCTGTATTTAAGATCCCAGCCAAAATTCGATACACTGAATGCACTTCCTGAAAATGGTAGGAAAGTCAGAACTATAAACTTTAACAGGTTACCAGCACAACACTTTGGGGAATACATACATTCTGAGGACAGATTATTTGTATATAATTCCATAATCCAAACATATCAAACCATACTGTCCTTCTCAGATTATGATGTACATTCAACATTTTTGGTCATTGCAAAAGCTGGAAGGTGCTAATGTAATGCAGTCACACTTCATGGTCTTAGAGAATTCATATCATTAATCTTTTTCTTGACTTCAATGTGTACTTCTATCTTATTTCTAATCCTATGTTAGATTGACAGCTTCTTAACAGCCAGTTTCGATTGATTTTGATTGATTGATTGATTGATTGATTCATTCATTCATTCATTCATTCATTTATTCTGAGCAGTGACGGAATGTTTATTTTAACTCTTTATATATCAGTTTTATATACCGATTTCATTCTTCATATACCTGTTTTTCTGTTCATAAAAGAAATTAGCCTGTGAGATGCCTTGCAGCAAGATGGACAGCAAACAAAGTTAATCAATAAAGAAATAATAAATAAAACAAATGGGCTAAGACTGTGCCAAGCAGATCCTAGAAATATCCTACTGAAACGTGAGCATCAAAGACAGAGTTCAAAGAGATTCTGGTGCATCAGAGGAGAAGATCTGATGGGATCTAGTATATTTAGGGGAAGACTGGTAGGATCATGAACTGATGAGTTTCTTAAACTGTATTCCTAAATACAGTTGCCTGATAAAATGCCTTATTTTCAGTTAAATTATTAAGAAAACTTAACTTTTATTATTGTTTGTTTTTATTATTGCTATTGGCTTCAGAATTAATTATGTGATTCTGGGGCAATTTATATGTTGCTATTGGTTCTTCTTCCTCTAGTCTAGAGTTGATTCAAGTTTAGTAATTCTAACTCTAGTAATTCTAACTCTGGTGAATCACTCCACTACTGTTATTATAGTTCTACTCTTACTTGATAATGACAAAAAGTATTCTACAAGCCGTACATAGAATTATCCAAACCTGATCTGGCAGCTGCCATTGTATTGATTCAGTTGCCCACTGCAAAATATATAATTTTTTAAAGCAAGGCCAATGTTATTCTGGCAACTGTATAAAAAAAGGTCATCACTTACCTCTTTAGTAAATCCTATGATCCGAAAGCAATGCTGGATTGCTTCAAACTGAGTTCCATAGGATTCTTTATTAATAATATCATGCATCACCTTTCCTGTGCCATTTTCAATATACCTGTGTAAAATACATAACTGAGTCTCATTTGATGTTGCGGCTCTTTTCATGTCTGTAGGTCTGGAATTAGCCAAAGAATCTATGACCATATTGCTCCACGGCTCCCCTCACATAACTAAATTCACAAAGATTGAAACACGCAAGATTATGGATCTCATAAACCTCTGCCTAGCCATATACTTCCAATTTGATGGACAAACTTACCAACAAATTAAAGGTACAACCATGGAATCACTCCTTTCAGGACTTATAGCGGAAGTCATTGTGCAATGTGTAGAAGTTATATAGAGCGTCCACAAATATAACCCAAAATATGAATCAGGTATGTAGATGACATATCCAGGAGCCTGGAAGAGCCAGTAACTTGAGCACCACTAACTAATTGATGTAAAGATAGTTTGCCCCCACCCACCAACAGTGCACCAAAGATAGGCATACAAGCACCAAACAGAATGAACTAGAAATCTAGGCTGTCAGGACAGCATTGTGTCTGCCATGTGTAGATTTCCTTGACATTGTATGCCATAAGCTAAAGAAAGAAAGAAAGAAAGAAAGAAAAAAAGAAAGAAAGAAAGAAAGAAAGAAAGAAAGAAAGAAAGAAAGAAAGAAGCCAAAAAGGGGACAAAAGGTCCAAAACACCTCCCCACCAGCAATCAGAAGCCAGATGAGCATAGATTCAAGATTAACATCAGACCAACAATCAAGTAAACAAGACCCCTATCAAGGAACTGCCACAAAGCCAATAATAACGAACTGAACCAAATAACCTCCAGTACCACCCCACCAATAATGATAGGGCAAACCACCACTAGAATATAAACTGAGAACAAACCCACTCTTTATTAGCACTGTTGATGATGTTACCTAGTTTGAGTAATGAAACTTCTACAAGAAAACAAGCAAGTTCAGAGAGCACAAGGACCCTTCACAATGTAGGAAAGTAAAATAATAAGACTGCTTATTAAGTCAAATCCATGACTCAAATCCCTTTTGATAAACCTATACATAATTTTGAGACTGAACCCCAGAGCTCAGATTAAATCCTTGTTAAAGAATTATTTCAACTAAATCAGTGAGCATATATTATGATAACGTACAGTACCTATCGGTTCAATTCAGATTGCAGCATCTCAATAAATATCTAGCTATTTCCTAGATGTTGTCATATTCTTGTATAATCGAGAAATGTAATCTTTAGGATAATTACCTACTCTCAGCTCAACCTACCTAACTGGGTTATTGTTGGGAGCAAATGGGAAGAGATACTATTATATATGCTGCCTTAAGGTTCTAAATGAAAGGTAGAAGTCTAAGGAGCAAACCAATATTAGAAGAACAAGCCCTTGCAAAGAAATGAAAATACATTATTTTGCAGACTACAGAGACACATTTAACCTCTAATTCTTACCTCCTTTTCCCATTACTAACCATCATGACCGGCATATTATAGGCTGTCCTTTTAATTGGTGCTATCATTTTCAAAATGAGGACTCAAAAAATACAGTTAGGTAAATTTTGGGTCAGTCTCAAAGTTGGGAGAGAGCAAGACAAGCTCCATGAGAGATCAGAAACTAGAATACCCGAAGGCACAATTTGGCCTAATATTGCTAATTACCCAAATAGTAATGTACCAATTTAAAACAATTCGTTTGGTTTTGTTTGTCTAGAATACTAATACATACCATTAACTTTATAATCCATTTTGGAAAACAGATTAAATTTGAGAGTGTGGCAAAACTATAATTAGATGAACTTTTTTTTATTTTTTATTAATTTAATTAAGCCATATATAAATAATAGCATTACTTCTTGCCTATACAGTTGTATAAATGAGAGGACTACAGTGGATCTTTAGGACAAGGGCAACAATTAAGGCAGACTTTAAAACGTCTCACCAAAACAAAGAACTATTTAATACTTAGTTATAACTAGCAATAAGCACAAGTCAGCAAAAATTACCTGGGAGGCTTTTTCTCAGGGAGCTTATATTCAGAAAGTTTCTTCTGATGATAAAGGCCAGCATAAATGTAGTAAAATATATGGAAGTTTTTCTCACCCCTGTTACAAAAAAGAATTACTGTAGAGCATAAATTTAAGATGTTATCTTTAAGCTGAGAGATTCAACTAGTATATAAAAGAGTCTCAGGAAGCAATAGTTCCCCCAAACCACATGTTTATACCTAAAAAAATCCAGATGTCCATACTGCAAAACCCATTAATCTCAGGTCCCTGCTCTATAATTGAGGTGATGGAGTCCTATTCTCCATCTAGAACAGGGGCGTCAAACTCGATTTCATTGAGGGCCACATCAGGGTTGTGTTTGACTTCTGGGAGAGAGGGTGGGCATGGCTAGCTTGACATCACTCCTATCAGGGGCGCCTGTGGTGGCTCAAGTGCTCTGCAAGTGAAAACAGGCTCCTGAGCTCCGTTTTCGGCTGCGACAGCCTCCTGCAACCCTCTGCCAATGAAAAGGGAGCTCGGGAGGGATGCTCATTTTTGCTGGCAAAAGCACCACAGGCCAGTCCTTCGCTGTTTCCAGGGCAGCCCTGCAGGCCAGATCTAAGCACCCTGCAGGCTGGACTTGACTTGATTTATAGAACCCAAGAATTATATCCCAGTGCACATAAGTGTTTAAGAGCAGCAACAACAAACCCAATAGTTTACAGCAGTGGTTCTCCATCTTTTCTTCACCATGAACCCATTTACATACCTATTGTGACCACAGACCACAGGCCACGGATCCCCAAGACGTAACTCAAGATTTAAATCATAACGTTTCTTCAAGCCTTCTCAAAGCCCCTGTGATGACATCGCGGTCCTCCCAGGGGTCTGTGGACCACCACTGATTTACTTAACTTAAACTTAACTTACATTCTGGTTTATCTTCAAATTATATAGTCTTTCACTATTCAGCTTAATTGTTTTCTCACAGCAGGAAAGATGGGAACCAGACAAATAAATAATTTTCAAGTAATTTGCCTTAATCGGGTAGGGCTGACTTGCTAAGAGGAACTGAACAGTTACTATTAGCATTTATTTCATTAGGTCTTTTGTAGTTGAGCCTTACTGCCAGATATCTCTCAGCTTTGTCCTTTCCATGGAGGCCATCCTGGTGCAAAACAAATCTATCTTTCAGTACCAAATAAAAACGTGGCCTCCTACTCTCACAACTGGAACTTAGCATTTAAAACCCAACCATGCCTTTTGTCTATTAAGCACATTTCTCAGGTGTTTCCATTATTATGAGGTGTGTATTAAATCAAATTATTTATTTTAGGTCTTACATTTCCCTTATTTGACAAGAATATAACTCACCACGAGATTCTTTTAGAGCACATATGTTCAACCAAAATAAAATTAAATACCTTCAATGAAAGAATATTTATTTTGTAATCATCCATTTTCAGTATGAATGCAAAAAAGATGATTGACAACTGAATGTAAATAGCTCTATAGTTTTACTCCTTATACAAAGTAGGGCTGTTCGAATCATTTGGAAGGATGCTTCATGAACTGAAGACATCATACACTATATTGCCAAAAGTATTCGCTCACCCATCCAAATAATCAGAATCAGGTGTTCCAATCACTTCCATGGCCACAGGTATATAAAATCAAGTACCTAGGCATGCAGACTGATTTTACAAACATTTGTGAAAGAATGGGTCCTCTCAGGGGCTCAGTGAATTCCAGCATGGAACTGTGATAGGATGCCACCTGTGCAACAAATCCAGTTGTGAAATTTCCTCGCTCCTAAATATTCCACAGTCAATTGTCAGCTGTATTATAAGAACATGGAAGTGTTTGGGAACGACAGCAACTCAGCCATGAAGTGGTAGGCCACGTAAACTCATCCAACATCAGTGTGTGACCTCACATATGCACTTCTGGAAGAATGGTCAAAAATCCCCATAAACACACTCTTAAACCTTGTGGACAGCCTTCCCAGAAGAGTTGAAGCTGTTTTAGCTGCACAGAGTGGACCGACGTCATATTGAACCCTATGGATTAGGAATGGGATGTCACTTACAGTAAGTTCATATGCAAGCAAAGGCAGTGAGCGAATACTTCTGGCAATATAATATTCCAAGGATCAAGATGACTGCATCTCTTAGGCAGCTCTTTCAAAGCCCTCCCCAGTTGCTTTGGCATATGTGTAGCTGCACAGAAGTCATCTCTAGACTGTGATTAGTACCTCAGCACTTCAAGCAGGAGTTTCAAGGTGCGCTATGGTTCCTTTGCAAATTGCCTCTCCAAATAATTCACACAGGCCAGGTATTAATGCCCTGAAGCCAAAATCATACTGAAAAGTCTCCAACCTTTTCCAGCTGAAGGTAACATATTTCCTGTCAGGCCTGGAAGCCATCTTTTGCATTGGGCCTTCAGGCTTGCCACTTTTAATGCTGTGGGAAATTGGGAGGGGGGATTATATGGAGTGTGAGAGATTTGGTCAAAATAACATTCCTTTCTCAGAGAGTCAAGGACTTCTTGCCCTGCACCTGGAATGGTGTCACTGGGTGGCCCGGTGACTGATTGGATCCTGTGATGGACATATGGGTGCTGGGCGGGGAATTGAACTTTCGTTTGGGTGGGGAAAACCTGGAAACTTTCAGATTCGGATTTTCTCAGATGTGCCGATATGACATCTCTAATAAAATGGAACTTTGAGGAAACTCAAGCCTCGGAGTCTTCTTTCATTGGGGGTGTTACTTGGAACCCTAACATTTATACAAATTTATAACAAAAAGCAATATTTTAAACAGAAAAATCCAAATTATACTTACAAGGCTTGCTTTATAACTCTGGATTTTTCTAGCAGGTATTCTGAGATCTTTGCTCCCATTACAGCTCCAGTTGGCGTGAACATCATTTCCAAGTATTTCCCAAAACGGCTAGAATTGTCATTGATAGCAGTGCGGGCATTCCCAAATGCTTCGACCAAAGGATTCACTTGGAGAATCTTCTCCCGCAAAGCACGGTTGTTTGCCTTGATAAACAGAAAAGGTCACAAGGAGTTTCCTCTATCAATTATAAGGCCCTCGTATTCATTTAGATGTTCCTTTTACCCAGAGGTCAGGAAAAAAACACATATTCTAGGTATCCTGGCTGTTCCAATACTACCTATCTTCAGTGGCTGCTTAAGGATGAAGAGTCCATAACTACAACATAGGTGGCCAGATTCTGCGCGGCAGCACTGGGGATTCATCACAAACACGTGTCTTTTCCACCATAGTGATGTCGTATAACAAACGTGGCAAACCCTTTGCGCTGCTTAGTCTTTAGCCTTGAACCTACAATGGGCCACACAGTTTATGGATTGTAACTGTAGTATAGTTAGACAATATATAATTGACAGGCTGGATTTTATTATAGATTTTAGTTGTTATTTATTATTTTCTACTAGAATTTTTTATTGTATATTTACTGAGCATTTTTATTTGTTCTGGTCTCTGGTCTAAGGCTGTAATAAACTGAATATAATATAATATCATATCATATCATATCATATATAATCCCATCTCATCTCATATATCATCTCATCTCATATAATAAATATAATCCTCATATTCGTTTAAAGCATTCCTATTATCACCCTGCACTGAAAGCAAATCCATCAGCAAAAGACAGTTGAAAAGGAGACAGATCAGGAACAAGATAACAAGAAACAAGAACAAAAAAATTCCCCCAGCCTTAAATATCTATCTATTAATACTTTTTTCAAATTTGCTTGAAGAGAACGTTTCCTAGTTTCTCTGGGTATAAACCAATGAAAATACAAATTTAAAAAGTTGTTTTATTATACATAAAACCTACTGAATAAGTAAATACCCTGCCCTATTTTCAATTTCAATTTCAATAAAGCTCTCTGTATATTACAGGTAGTCCTTGAGTTACAACCTTTCTTATAAGGTTAATAAGCAAGTTATAACTGCACTGAAAGGGTTGAGTTATAACCCTTCCTTGCACTTGCAATTGTCGTAGCAACCCCCACAATCATAATCTAAATTCAGGTATTTGGCAACTGGCACGTATTTATGATGATGGTTGCAGCATCCCAAGGTTATGTGATAGCCATTTGCAAACTTCCCAATCAGCTTCTGATCAGCAAAGTCAATGGGGGCTCCAGAATCACTTAACATCTGCCTGATTCATTTAACAACCCCAGTGACTCACTTAACAATCATGCAAAAAGGTTTGTAAAATCAGGGGTGTGACTCACACTTAATTACTGCCTTACTTAGCAACAGAAATTCTCATACCAGTTGTGATCAACGGTGAGTTTCACTTTTTGTTACCACTGGTTCGTGGGTGCAGGCGTCCCTTCCACGCAGGTGCCCGGCGTTCCATGCATGCACTTTGCTCATGCACATGCCTTCTGCGCATGCACCCAGCCTCAAAAACGTGCCTAAATAGGACAGCATAGAGCTGGATTTCCGCTACTGGTTGGGGCGAACTGGTCAGAACCAGCTGAATACCACCTCTGGTTGTGATCATAATCTGAGGATTATTGGTATTATGCTTTAACAAAGGATCTGAGACTGAAGTTAACAAAAAATAGAAGCAGAAGCTTGTAATCACCTTGTCACAAGATACACTTGAAATGAGATGGGAAGAAAAAACATGAAACACAAACACGAACCCAAAGATTTGTACAAGCTCATCCCTGCCAAATTAGCAAGCGGGCAACCTGTGGCCTCCAGATAATTCTACATTAACAAATCTCAGCCTGCTCCTTTTGCCTGTGGTGAGGAGGGAGAATTGAAACCCGGTATAATCAGTTGAGACAGAGATTGCTCAGCCCTGCACTAAATCTCAGTTTAAGGTTGCATGCAAATGCAGCCAGTACTTCACAGCATTATAATTTGAGTTATGTGACAGTCAGTAAATACCTTTCCCAGGAAGGTCAAATGCTGCACAATGAGATGGGCACTCTCGGTCTTCCCGGCACCGCTTTCCCCACTGATGATTATGCACTGAGGGTACAAAACAGAAGAGAGAAGTTGTCTAATTGGCAATTCAAGGAATAGACCTTCATCCCTATTTTCATGTGCTTTAGTGTACCATTAAACATTTAACTATCTTAAATTATACTTTCTTTGAAGAGTTGAGCAATCATGCAGAATATAAAACAAACATTCAAAGTTGCCCAGTTGAAAGTATAAAATACAGCATATGTGTGAATGCATGTCTTTGAATTAGATCTAGCTGGCTGATAATGGAGAATACAGAATGAATTTCTATTTCTGCCAAATTCTTTCAGTGAGAATAGATTTCTGACCCTTCTACAAATACACCCGCAGGATATATTTATGTATAAGTGACATTAGACTCTGATTAACTAATGAATGTATAGTAAGTGACAAACAAGAAAATCAACTATTTTGCCAATAAAGTTTAGAGGGTGTTTTGTTTTGTTTTGTTTTGTTTTGTTGTAATGTCCACTGAAGCCTTCCAGGTCTGAATCTGGCTGCTCCAGATGAAAAAAAAAATGGCATGCAGAATTGGGGAGTTCAATCAAACAGACTTAATAGCAATAGCAATAGTAGTTAGACTTATAAACCGCTTCATAGGGCTTTCAGCCCTCTCTAAGCGGTTTACAGAGTCAGCATATTGCCCCCAACAACAATCCGGGTCCTCATTTTACCCACCTCGG